AGCAATAGAATACATATTGGACCATGGGGAGGTAGCGGTGGAGTTAAGCCTTGGACATTCATCCCCAATGGTAGGATTTCCCAAATCCGTATCAGTGCCTTCGGGTGTGTTGATTCTATCAGGTTCACCTATATAGATCATCAAGGTCTCCAAAAACACTCGGAAAGATATGGAGGTGACGGTGGTTCAGCTCATATGGTAAGTGGGCTTTCGTTACAAATTTAAATACCTAAACATGTACTATACTTATCTATAATTTTATTATGCATCATTTGTACGATTATTTCTTTATATCTTTAGGTTACATTTGTTGACGATGAGCACCTCATCGGGATTAGTGGAACCGTGGGAATATATGAACGCTACACTGTTATTACGTCATTGTCTTTCCTTACCAACAAAAAGAACTATGGGCCATACGGCACAAACCAGGGGACTAGCTTCTCATTGCCGGTCGCTAAGGGTAGCTTTGGTGGATTCAGCGGAAACTATGGCGCATACATCGACTCTATCAACGTCATTCTTCAATCATCTTCTCTTGGGAAAATATTCAACAGAAACATGGTAAATTTTAACCCCATTTTTGTGAATATTGGGTTTCTGATTTACCTTTTCTACTTCATTTGTTGATTGCTAAGATTTTTTCACTTGTTAGTTATATTTTAATTTGGCTCGATATTCAGGCAAGCAATGGAATACATGTCGGACCATGGGGAGGCAACGGTGGAGTTAAGCCTTGGACATTCATCCCCAATGGTAGGATTTCCCAAATCCTTATCAATGCCTCTAGGTGTGTAGATTCTATCAGGTTCACCTACATCGGACATCAAGGTGTGCAAAAACAATCGGAAAGATATGGAGGTGATGGTGGTTCAGCTCATACGGTAAGTGAGGTTTTGCTACAAATATTAAATACCTAAATGCGTACTATAATTTTACCATACGTCATTTATCAATTATTTGATTATATCTTTAGATTACATTTGTTGACGATGAGCACTTCATCGGGATTTCCGGAACTGTGGGAGTATATGAACACTACACTGTGATTACTTCATTGTGTTTCCTTACCAACAAAAAGAACTATGGGCCATACGGCACAAACCAAGGGACTAGTTTCTCGCTGCCGGTTGCTAAGGGTAGCTTTGGTGGATTTAGCGGAAACTATGGGGCATACATCGACTCTTTTATTGTTATTCTTCAATCCTCTTCCTTTGGGAACATATTCACCTCAAACACGGTATACTCTTTCACTATATTTTTCAAATATTGGGTTTGTGATTTACCTTGTGTATTTCATTTGTTGATTTCTAAGGTGTGTTCACTTGTTAGTTATATATTATTTTGGCTCTATATCCACGAGAGCAATAGAATACATGTTGGACCATGGGGAGGTAACGGTGGAGTTCAGCCCTGGACATTCATCCCCAACGGTAGGATTTCCCAGATCCGTATCAGCGCCTCCGGGTGTGTAGATTCTATCAGATTCACTTACATAGATAATCAAGGTGTCCAAAAACATTCCGAAAGATATGGAGGTGACGGTGGTTCAACTCATATTGTATGTGAGCTTTTGTTACATATATTAAATATCAAAACATGTACTATATACTGTTTTGTAAATTTACCATACATCATTTATCGATTATTTGGCTATATCTTTAGGTTACATTTGTTGCGATGAGCACTTCATCGGGATTACCGGAACTGTAGGAGTATATGAAGGCTACACTGTGATTACGTCATTATCGTTCCTTACCAACAAAACAAACTATGGGCCATACGGCACAAACCAAGGGACTAGTTTCTCGCTGTCGGTCGCTAAGGGTAGATTTGGTGGATTCAGCGGAAACTATGGAGCATACATCGACTCTTTCAGTGTCATTCTTCAATCATCTTCCCCTGAGAACATATTCAAATCAAACGTGGTATACTGTTTCTCCATATTTGTGAATATTGGGTTTGTGATTTACCTTGTGTACCTCATTTGTTGATTCCTAAGGTTGTTCATTGTTAGTTATATTTTTTTTGGCGCTATCTTCAGGTAAGAAATGAAATACATGTTGGACCATGGGGAGGTAACGGTGGAGTTAAGCCCTAGACATTCATCCCCAATGGTAGGATTTTCCAGATCCGTATCAGCGCATCTGGGTGTGTAGATTCTATTAGGTTCACCTACATAGATCATCAAGGTGACAAAAAAAACTCAGAAAGATATGGAGGTGATGGGGGTTCAGCTCATACGGTAACTAAGCTTTCGTTACATATAGAAAATAACTAAACATGTATTATATTTTTCTGTTATTTTATCAAACATCATTTATTGATTTTTCGGGTATATCTTCAGGTTACATTTGTTAAAGATGAGCACATCATCGGGATTAAAGGAACTGTTGGAGTATATGAAGGCTACACAGTGATTACGTCATTGTCTTTCCTTAGCAACAAAAATAACTATGGGCCATACGGCACAAACCAAGGGACTAGTTTCTCTTTGCCGGTGTCAAAGGGTAGCTTTGGTGGATTTAGCGGAAACTATGGGGCCTACATCGACTCGTTTAGTGTCATTCTTCAATCCACTTCCCTTGGGAACATATTCAACTCAAACATGGTATACCGTTTCACCATATTTATGAATCTTGGGTTTGTAATTTTCCTTGTGTACTTAATTTGTTGATTGCTAAAGTTTGTTCACTTGTTAGTTATATTTTATTTTGGCGCAATATTTAGGCAAGAAATGGAATACATGTTGGACCATGGGGAGGTAACGGTGGAGTTAAGCCCTGGACATTCATCCCCAACGGTAGGATTTCCCAGATCTGTATCAGTGCCTCTGGGTGTGTAGATTCTATCAGGTTCACCTACATAGATCATCAAGGTATCCAAAAATACTCAGAAAGATATGGAGGTGATGGTGGTTCAGCTCATATGGTAAGTGAGCTTTCTTTATGTATATTAAATACCTAAAAATGTACTTTAATTTTCTATAATTTTATCGTACATCATTTATCCGTTATTTGGTTATAATCTTTAGGTTACATTTATTGACGATGAGCACTTCATCGGGATTACTGGAACTGTGGGAGTATATGAACGCTACACTGTGATTAAGTCATTGTCTTTCCTTACCAACAAAATGAACTATGGGCCATACGGCACAAACCAAGGGACTAGTTTCTCATTGCCAGTCGCTAAAGGTAGCTTTCGTGGATTCAGCGGAAACTATGGGGCATACATCGACTCTTTCAGTGTTATTCTTCAATCCTCTTCCCTTGACAACTTATTTTGTTAGGTCTCACGTAATGTTTAGAATGTGTGAAGTCTAAATGTGATATTTTTCGCAATTCTTGTATGTTTTAGTCTTTGTTTTTCGTATACGAACAAATTGTTTCTATCTCGCATGTTTGCTATTCTCATTATAACTTATTTTCCCAGTTTGTTTTTTAAGTGACAGGCTGTTGACATAGGGGTCCTATTGAATTTGAACAAAATGTTGAGAATGATTCTGAGTTTAATAAAAGCGAAATGAGTGAAATTTAGTTGAGGATGAAATTGATTGTTCTTCTTTTGTGAAACATGTTGAAGAACCAATAAGAAAATTGTTTTTTGAGGATTCTATTGAATTTTAACAAATTGTTGAAAACCAAGGCATGAGAAATCTTAAAATAGAAGCATTTGTTTTTTCAAAATTCCAAAAAAAAATTAAATCAAGTTTTGTTACAAAACATTGAACATAAGTGTTAATCCCGATTTAAATTCAATCGTAAAAAATGACAATGTTAATTCTAGTGAGTATTATTTTTGGTTAGCACCAATTGACAACGTTAACGATACAAAAGGCCTTTCTGAGAAAATTTCTTGGAAAGTAAAAGGAATACACATTTTAGAACCTCTGAATGATGTGAAGATTTCACATGATGTCACAGGTTAGTCTGATATTAAAATGATAAATCAAAAGGTGTTAGTAAATCAGGAGATTTAAAAGGAAAATCCAAAATAAATGATTTATGTACTCAAAGTGATAATAAAATAATAATAATAATAAAAAGGCAATGAATGTTAGTTATAAGAAGAACTTAAAAGAGAGAAATAGATTTAGGAAACAAAAAAGAAAAATTAACAAATTATGTGAAGTTTGTTAAAAATCAAAAACATGTTTGTTATTATTCTTCATCTTATGTGACAAACCAAATGTCTATCAACTTATCAAGAGTGTTTTTATCAGAAATATTATTCACTACAAGTTATGAACACAAAATCTTCTTTTGGTACTAATTCTTTTCATACAAAAAGTGAAAAATCAAGTTCTCTTTCAAAGAAAAATGTTTTAAATCAAAAAGCAATTCTAAAAGAATTTGAGGAAAATTTAAAGGCAGAAGAAAATGTATTTTTGAAAAGCTTACTTTCAATAACAAAAGCATTTATTCAACATAAAAATATAATTGTTGAGATAAAAATTGTGATAAAATGACTCAAGTTTACAAAACGGAAAAAGATATGAATAATGTTTCGGTTACGAAATCATTTTCGATTGACAAGAACAAGATTTTTCATGATATTCATTCAAAATCCAAAGTCTCACAAGGGCGCAAGATGGTTTGGGTTCCTAAATTTGTGTTATTTCGTAGGTGATGCACGACGAGCAGTACGATTAGGAATGATTCATCGATAGTGGTTGTTCTCGTCATATGACTGGAAGGAAATCACAATTAAGAGAGTTTCAGAGTCTAAAGGATGTAGAAAGAGTGACATTTGGGAAAAATGCGACTGGACATATCAAACGGTATGTAATGGTAACCAATGGCGAATTCATAATTTGTAAGGTAGTATATGTTGAAGGTTTGTAAAACATATTAATTAGTGAGTCCCAAGTTATTTTAGGTGCTGGATTAAAAGTTTCATTTGATAAGGAATGTTCAGAAATAACTCATAAGGAAATGGAGAAAAATATTTTAACATCGAAGAGGAAAAGGGAGTTGTATCCTCTTAAGATGAAGCCAATTGAAGGAAAACCTTCTAGTTGATTGCTTGCAGAAGCTTATTCAAAAGATAGTTAGTTGTGGCATAGAAAACTCTCGAATCTTAATTTCAAAGATATCAACAAGCTTGTTCTTGGAGATCTTGTGTGAGGACTTTCGATACTTAAATTTGATAAACTCCAATTGTGTGCTACTTGTGATATGGGAAAACAAAGTAGAAAAACTCATTCATCCATAATAAATGCTAGGATAATTGAAGCACTCGAATTGCTTCATATCAACCTTTGTGGTTTAACGTCAGTTGAAAGTATTTTTAATAATAAATACATACTTGTTATTGTAGATGATTTTTCACAATTTAGTTGAGTAATTTTTCTTAAACAGAAATCAGACACAACTCAGAAACTGATATATTTTGTTAAGCAAATCGAACTGCAGTTGTGAGAGCCTGTTTGAAAGATTCAAAGTGACAATGGAACTGAGTTCAAAAATCAAGTATTTGAGGAAGTTTTGATAAATAAAGGAATTAGTCATAATTTCTCATCTCCATATACTCTACAACAAAATGGTGTTGTTGAAAAGTGAAATTGTACTCTTTGTGAAGCTACTAGGACAATGTTATCATTCATAAATCTACGTTGTATTTTTGGGCCAATACAATTAGAATCCTATGCTTTACTCAAAATAGATCTTACATTAGTAAGCCATTTTAACTAATCCTTACAAGATATTGAATAATCGCAAACCTAATGTGAAATTCTTTTATGGCTTTGGTTCGAGATGCTTTCTTTATAATTCAAAAGAAAATCGCAATAAGTTCGATGTAAAAGTAGACAAATCAATATTCTTGGGTTATTTACTTACACTAAAGGCTTATAGAGTTCTTAATGAGAAACCAATGAAGATTGAGGAAATCTATTGTATTTCATTTGATGATAAGTAAGCACATCAAGTCATCTAAAAAGAAATTTGTTCAAAGTGAAGAATTTTTTCCATCATCATGCATAACAATGATTCCCCTTATGTTATTATATGATTATTTTATGAAGTTATTCGATGAAACTGAAAAGGATATTTCTTCCAAATCAAAAGTTGTTGATAATCAAGAAGATGAGTTGTTGAAATTGGTTGATGAAGCAATCGAAAATGTCGAAATTCATGTTGAAGAAGTTCCTTCCACAACAACTAATTCTCTGAATGCTACAATTGAGGGGTAGAATGTGGAAACTACTGAAGTGAGGGGGATAGTGTGGAAACTACTAAAGCTTAATCAAGCAAGGTTGTGTCTACTCCATATGCCAATCCAATTATTGATACTAATTTCAAGGGGGAGAATTTAACTAATAATGAAGTTTGTAGGGCGAGAGTTATTCGTTTGATGCTATTGTCGAGAGGGAGAATTTAGTACATCATGATAATGATGATATCTCAAACTTTGAAGAAGTTTATTCTAAAATTATTCTAGAATATGACTTGAATTATCCACCATTGACGAAATGGAAAAAGGATCATATAAGAACATAAGTTATTGGAGAATTTTTTTTGGAGTTCTTACTCATGCTCAACAAAAGGAGAAACAAGGTTTATTATCTGAAGATCATGAATTTTTCATGTTCGATTCCTTTATATCCAATATTGAACCTAAAACTATGAAAATTGCTCTTCATCATGCAGAGTGGGTAAAAACTATGCAAGTTGAGTTATATAAATTTAATAGAAACAAGGTTTGGATATTGATTCAAAATCCTCAAAATGCATCTGTGGTTGGACTGAAATGTGTATTTCGGAACAAGATGGATAAAGTAGGAAAGTTCTGTGAAAAGGCACGTCTCGTAGTGAAAGGATATTTTCAAGAACAAGGTTTGGATATTGATTCAAAATCCTCAAAATGCATCTGTGGTTGAACTGAAATGTGTATTTCGGAACAAGATGGATAAAGTAGGAAAAGTTCTGTGAAAAGTTACGTCTCGTAGTGAAAGGATATTTTCAAGAAGAAGGGATAGACCACGAAGAGACGTTTTCTCCAGTCGCACGATTAGAGTCAGTTCGCATCTTTCTAGCATATGCAACTCACAAAAATTTTGAAGTTTTTCAAATGGACGTGAAGTTTGAACTTCTTAATGGTGAACTTGAAGAAATTTTTTAGGTGAAGCAACCACCAGGTTTCGTTAATGAAAAATTTCTAATCATTGCTAGCTTCTTGATGACGCAGTTTATGGTCTTAAACAAGCTTCTCGTGCATGGTATGAAGTTGTAACTTGTTTTCTTAAAAAAATCTAAGTTTAAATGTGGTTTAGTTGACACGTTCTTTCTTATTAATATTGGTGATCGTTTAATGATTGTTCAAACTTATGTTGCTGATATTATTTTCGTTTCAACAGATCCAAATTTAACTGTTGGATTCTGAACTTTAATGGAAACTAAATTTGAAATGAGTTCTAATGACCCAATTAAGTTTTTTGTTGGATTGAATATTCGACGTAGTAAAGAAGGTATACTTATAAACTAGGAATCTTTTACAAAGACTTTACTTACAAAATTTGGCATGACTGGTGACTCAAAGGTTAAAAATCTGATGGCATTTGGCACAAAGTTAACACCTTCACGTGAAAAACCTACAACAGATCTTACTTTATATCGATAGATGATTAGGTCTTTACTTTATTTAACATCTAGTAGACCTGACATAATGTTTGTTTTTTTGTTATTGTGTGAGATATCAAGCCAATTCGCTAGAACATCATATTATTGCTGTGAAGAACATTTTCAAATACCTTCATAGAACTACATCACTTGGTGTATGGTATCCATCTAATACAAGGATCTTTGTGATAGAATATTCTGATGTGGATTTAGGAGGTTGTGTTATTGATCATAAAAGTATATTAGGAGAATATCGATTCTTGCAAGGAAAGCTCATTAGTTGGCAATCAAAGAAACGAACTTGTGTTTTGTTATCTACTATTGAATCTGAATATACTGTTGTTGCATATTGCACGTCACAAATAATTTGGAATCAAAGTCAATTGCGAGATTATTGAATTAGTATGAAAAAGATCACATTGTACTGTAAATCGGAAAATGCATGAAGAATATGTCATAATCCAGTACACCATTCAAAGACTAAGCATATCGCTCTAAGATATCATTTTATAAAGGATAATGTGGAATATGGGAATGTGGAAATTGACTTTGTTAGATCAGTGGATCGGTTATTGATATCTTCACAAAAGTGTTACCAGAAGTTTCCTTCAATCCAGTTTTACATGGGGTTGGAATTATAGATGTTGAGTCTGTTCCGAAATCAAATTGA